GGCTCACTGCAACCTTCACCTCCCAGGTTCAAGCGCTTCTTCTACCTCAACCTCCCAAGTAACTGGGATTACAGGCATGAGCCACCATGCCCAGCTAATTTTTGTGTTTTTAGTAGACACGGGGTTTCACCATGTTGGTCAGGCTGATCTTGAACTCCTGGCCTCAAGGTATCCACCCACCTCTGCCTCCCAAAAGGCTGGGATTACAGGCATGAGCCACCGCCCCTGGCCTCACCCAGATATTTTTCAAATACCGTTTTCAATTCCCACTCTCTTTTTCTCTTGAAGTAAGCAAGGCAGACACATTTGCCAAGGATAACTGAGAATGTAAGGGCAATCCATGACTGGGCAGCTTGTGTGGGCTGTGTGCTAAGTGCAACTGGGAAACATGCCCTATAAATAGCCGTTCATTGTCAGCCTGTGTGAAAAGACAAGAGAGCATGCCATGCTGTGATTCAGGCCGAATTCAGTGGCTGCGTCTGGGCAGGGCTATAAGCCACTAGCTGCTTCGACTGGTAATCCAGTCAGTAGGCAACTGCGGGGGTTCGCTGCTGAGGGAAGGTTGACTGAAGGAGGCTGTTCAATGCTCTTTTTACCTTCCCTATGGCAAAAATCATTTTCAGGCACCTCATAGAGATTCCAGTGCGTTACCAGGAAGAGTTTGAAGCTCGAGGTCTGGAAGACTGCAGGCTGGATCATGCTTTATATGCACTGCCCGGGCCAACCATCGTGGACCTGAGGAAAAGCAGGGCAGCACAGCCCTCTCCAGTGGACTCTGCGGCAGAGACACTACCCCGAGAAGGCAAATCCCGCTTTCAGATCCTGCTGGACGTGGTCCAGTTCCTCCCCGAAGACATCATCATTCAGACCTTCGAAGGCTGGCTGCTGATAAAAGCGCAACACGGAACCAGAATGGACGAGCACGGTTTTATCTCAAGGAGCTTCACCCGACAGTACAAGCTGCCAGATGGCGTGGAAACGAAAGATTTGTCTGCAGTCCTCTGTCACGATGGAATTTTGGTGGTGGAAGTAAAGGATCCAGTTGGGACTGAGTGACATCGTATCGGTTCCTGTTCCGACGACCCGAGGAAGATGATACTGGTACTACAAGAATGTTTGATATTACCCATATTTGAAATGATTTACTATGATTTTTATGAAGATTAAAAATACATACACAGTTCCTGGTACATTGAGGTTGTCTTTATTATTCTTACTCAGAAATGAAAATTGGTAAATATGTTTGTGTGACTCAAACTGATACTATTCTTACAATTGCAACGTTGAAAATTTAGGAGACTGTATTTGGATATTAGAGAGGACTCAGATTTGTTTCTTATTATTTCAACAATGCCAGCTGCTTTGTAATCACTGATGGCAAAAGAGCAGTAGTCATTTAAGGAATTCCTATCCATGTTATGGAAAATCTTTTACATTGCCAAAGAGTTGTGATTCCCTTCACTTGATAAGCTTTTCTTTTTAGTGTGTTTTCATTAAAGTGACATTTTGTAAATATGGAGTGCAAAATTAAAATACAGTATTTGGGAATTGGGTCTGAAATCTATTTATGTTTCAGTGTAGTTCAGTATAGATTTCAATAGTTCTGATATATTTATGATTCAGGATAGTGGTCTTAAACGTCAATGGGAATTTTCAGATATAAATTTTATTTTTAAAAAGTTCAAATATGTACCTCACTCATCTTTTTAAAGCTATAATGAATCCTGTCTGAAATGTTTTGACTTTTTAAAAATAGTATAAGTTTTATGGACATGTACAAAATGTTCCTAAGATATGTATTAACATATCTTCCTATAAATTAATATGCAGCTTTAGGACACCACTTTTGAAAGTCTGATTACTGAATTTGGTGAGTTTTAATCTGTGCTTTTTAGATGCTCCGTAAATGTGGATGGCAAAATGTAACACATCTGCTACCTCTGCATAATCTTTAGCTTTAAATAGCCAGGCAGGCAGTGGAAGTTCCACACCTGAGCTTACACTGCGTGTTTGAGTTCACACCGCACATCTGATGATTGTGCTTATTATATTCTCCCAAGGTTGAGACATTGGTAGAGCTTAAGGACTAGTGCCTTCAACAGCTGCTCTGGGACATTCCAAAGGTTTGCTATCTCATTCTGTATATACTATTGCTTCAGAGGCAGTGGCTGCCTGCCTTTTACCCCACACTGAATGTGAGCTGACAAGGAGCCCGAGGACAGTGCTAAGAATAGATGCAGAATGCAGGGTGTGGAAAACACCAGGGCAAATGCAGATTGCTGACAGTGTCCCAGTGCCCCTCCACGTTGTTTTATTGTAGTT